ATTAAAGTGCCCCTATTATGCCATTTTTAAGGTTGCTAATAATGTTTTATGAGTCTCCTAAAACAGGTTTACATGCTTGCAAGGTCAAAAAACACGTTAGTTTTCTCAAACAATAGATTTAATTTTTTACCTCATTTCTAAATGATTTGTAAACGACTCGTGCAAAGCAGTTCAAAGAATCAGTCTCTCTAAACCCCTCCTTTCCGTGAGCCCTCACTGCTGTGATTGGTCAGATGGCGCAGTCCTTTGTGATTGGTCCAGAGCCGTAGAGATTGGCTCTGGATTGGTCTACCGCATACAGCATGTGTCGAAAAAGAAACACCCATTGCCATGATGGAATGACAGCCCTGGAGACTTGTCAATACACAGAAAAGAAGGTATCGATTGTACCTTACCAATTCGAGCTGGAGTCTGATGATGAAACGGTTGAACTGGCTGATCGACAAGAGACTGATTTGAAAGCACGACTGGAGCAGGTCGTTTCTCAGTGGTAAGTGTCAAGTGTTAACAAGTTTGGTAATTATAAGATGTGATAAAACAAATTTACTCCCACAGCGTAGGATACAGCGTCTTCTGCACATGATGTTAACCACACAGAAATTTTACTGTTTGTGGGAGGGCAAGTTGGCGACATAGAACATGTGCAGACATTATGCAAATGTATTACTTCATGACATAGAGCCGTAACAGAAAAAGATTTGAATTCCTGACGACTCGTTTAGGCGATTGCGAGCCAACTCTTTCTTTTTGAAGACAATAACTTTATTTATTGTGCACTGTCTGCTTCACAACTTTGCAGATAGTTTATGTTCACATACAGCTACATGACACACTGCATGAACAAATCCTCTACCCAATTGGCAAAGGGCATCTCAGGAACCGCACTCCAGTGGTTTGAGTCTTACCTCTTAGATAGGTCCTTCAAGGTATCTTGGAGAGGTGAGGTAACCAAGTCGCAAAATCTAACTACTGGGATGCCTCAGGGCTAAGTTGTTGGACCACTTTTCTTCTCTGTCTACATGGCATCACAAGGTTCTGTCATTCAGAAACATGGCTTTTCATATCACTGCTGTGCTGATGACACTCAACTCTACCTCTCATTCCATCCTGATGATCCAACGATAGCTGCACACATCTCAGCTTGTCTTAACAGACATTTCTTGCTGGATGAAGGACCATCACCTTCAACTCAACCTTGCTGGATGAAGGACCATCACCTTCAACTCAACCTTGCCAAGACAGAACTGCTTGTGGTTCCATCAAACCCCTCATTTCATCACAATTTCACCATCCAGTTAGGCACATCAACTATAACTCCTTCAAAAACAGCCAGAAACCTTGGAGTTATGATTGATGATCAGCTGACTTTCTCAGTCCACATTGCTAAAACTGCCCAGTCCTGCAGATTTGCTTTATTCAACATCAAGAAGATCAGGCCCTTTCTTTCGGGAAACATGATTCACAACTCCTTGTTCAAGGTCTGGTTCTGTCTAGACTGGACTATTGCAATGTTCTCTTAGCAGGTCTTCCAGCCAGTTCTATCAAACCTTTACAATTAATCCAGAACGCGCAGGCAAAATTTATTTTAATGAGCCAAAAAGAATGCACGTCACACCCCTGTTTATCAGTTTGCACTGGCTACCAATAGCTGCTCGCATAAAATTCAAGGCATTAATGTTTGCCAACAAATCCACCACTGGCTCTGCACCCCTTTACCTAAATTCATTACTTCAGAGTTATGTGCCCTCTAGAAGCTTGCATTCTGCAAGTGAACGGCGTATTATTTTGCCATCCCAAAGAAGCACAAAATCATTAGTCCTTAGCCATCTTCAAGAATCGGCTAAAACACATCTCTTCCATCTTTATTTTGACACTCTAACTCTAGCACTTTTTTTTCTAATTCTATTCATTAAAAAAATACTAACACTAGCTTTTCTAATCTTTTTGATTAGAACAGATATTCTATCTGTTTTCTTTTTATTTATTATAGAATTAACAAAAAAAGGCCTCTAACACTAGCTTGCTCTTCCTTTTTTGTTCTGTTTTCTTTTTATTTATTATATAATAAAAAAAAACTTGCTACGTGTACTGCATTAAGCTAACTGAGACTTGTTATAGCACTTGCATATCATTGCTCTTTTGTTGATTTTGATTGCTTCCATTGTTTTCATTTGTACTGTAAGTCGCTTTGGATAAAAGCGTCTGCTAAATGAATAAATCTAAATGTAAAACTAGATTTTCTCAGCCATCTACTGCGATCTGTTGTTCTGGATTGTGCTGAGCTTTGACTGAAGTGTGTTGCAAGCTTTTCTGTAGGCTGCTTTACAGGCCTGACTGTCAGGACAAGCTCAGGACAAACTCTTAGTCTTTTGTAACTAGTGTTCTTTGTCTCAAGAAGCTTCTGGATCTCAGAATCATTCTCATCAAACCAATTAGGACTGAAACGATTCCTCGAGTAACTTGAGTAACTCAATAAATCATTGAGGCAAATTATTTGCCTTGAGGCTTTGTTTAGTCTATTTACTATAACTACACATGGACCATTATTACTGACGCACAACCCAATAAATGCTGGACATAGCCTGTGTCCCAGTGTGCACACTATCCATCCTAAATTCTATGTGATATTAGTAATTTTCAATACTTTTTAGGGCAGATAGGGTGGATAGTATGCACATTGGGATGCAGGGATATTTAAGACCGCAAGTCAATATGGTGGCTAGTTCTGATGTACCTAAGTTAGCTATGTTTTGTGAAAGACTAAGCGCCATTCATGTTGATTGTCTTATTCTCTGTCTGTGACACACAGACACACTCCCCATACAGTTATGCATAAAAATACCACAGAAAGATTTTATGCAACAGATCAATTAACAAGTTAATATTAAGATACTTACATTTTAGACACCATATAGTCTGTAGTGCTCTATTTCGCCAGCAAAAAATAATTCCAAACACAGTCACAGACAGTTTTGCATCTCTGAGCAACATGAGGGCGTTTCGTTCCTGTATGAAACAACCGTTTAAATGATTCGGTTCAGTCGCAATGACTCTCTTATTAACAGTGACTTGCTGCCACCTACTAGCGTAGGTGTGTAAATAAGCCTACATCTAAATGCCTCTTCAGCAGCTTCTGTTTCCTCTGTGTTGCAAAGATTAATTTTGTTGATACTGATATCATTTGTTTGTTAACAGCCCAAATGTCTTATTATTCTAATTGACTGGTTAAATGTAAGAATTTGACTCGAAAGATTTTGACTCTTGCACACTTTTAGAAAAAAAAGGCTTTATAAAGTTAAAAATGCCCATAAAATGTAAAAATCTATTTAAACGTATTGGAAAATATTAATTTCTATCACTGCTGTGAACTGACCAGTACACAGAATATGAAGGATATCAAAGAAATTGTTTTTAGAAATTGTGTATGGACTCTTGTTCCAAGTTACCTTCCTGTCCACTGATTTTTGCCTCTTACAAAAGCCACAAAGCCTTCCAAGAAGACAGTAAGTTAGGCTGAAACTTGAATAAGTTTCAAAAACGATATTATTTTTATTACCATTATTTTGATTTATGCCTTAGTTTTAGTTTGTACTGTTTACCTTTTTTAAAGTAATGTCAAATAGATTTTTATATTTCTTGATTTATGCCTTAATTTTAGGTTGTAATGTTTACCTTTTTTAAAGTAATGTGAAATAGATTTTATTTTTTGTATTTTTATTTTTTTATTTTATTGATATATTTGTATTTGCATTTTGAATGAAATTTGGCAATTAAATGGGTTTAGTTTTAATGATTATTAATGTATGCAAATTCAGCAGTAAAAATATTTATTTTTCTAAAAAGGAAACATTAGTTGTTTATCTTATTTTTTCTTGTATATCTAGTATTGCTCTTTAATAAAGAAAAAATACTTCTTATCCGATTACTCGATGGATTAATTGGTAGAATACTCGATTACTAAAATAATCGATAGCTACAGCCCTAAAACCAATCTCTGTTTTTCCCATTTGAGAAGTCTGCTACAAATATGTCTGTTTCCTGAAAGATGGTTGTTATTTGGTTCTACCACTTCTCAGGGTCCGGGTGTTGATTTGATTATTCTAGTTTGCCTTCAGTTTGCTGATGAACTCCTCTCATGGAGTTTCTTGGTCTGAGGCCCCCTTCTTTTTTATTGTAGCCTTGACTGTGATTTAAAATTTTGCTTGAACCAGCCTGTGGTCTGTGTAGCAGTTGGCACTAGTCATGACTCTAGTATGGAGCATATTGCAAACATCTTTTTATTGCTTATCATTATTATTATTATTATTTTGAGAAATACATTCTCTTGTAAGATAGTAATATATTTATGTCAATGTCATTGTTAAACCAGACGTTTATTCTGAATTTTAAAGTGAACACCTGGTGGTCAGTGTTTACTTTAGTTTGGACTTTTTAACATTAGGCTTTGTCTGGCTGTTGTAACTGAGATATAACAGCCAGACAAGCCAAGAGAGAAGGTGATTATGTTTTATGCTTTGACATAATCATCATTTGATCTGAATTTCTGTAGTTTTAATTTAAAACTTAATCTCTGAGTTAGTTTTACATTATTGGTTACAGCAGTCCTTTGATTCAACAACATAAGATCCAGTGGTTTCAATATATTCAGAAATATTTTTAAAAGAAAATTAAGTACTTTTTTTCAACTTTATAATGTTCTGTGAGATCTACTTACAATGTTATCAAGATTTTTACATCAATAAACATCCAAATGTATACGTAATATGCTATTTTCTATCCCTCTCTTTAAGAACACCTCGTTTGGATGGGTTGTGCCACAATCGAGGCTTGGACATAAATGCCCAGTGCTGTGATTGGGTAACAGCTTGCATTTTAATGTCACATTTAAAAATAAACCACCAGTTTTTTTCAATGGTTCTTTCTTGGACCATGAGTAATGAAATATTTTATTAATTTTGAATCACTTATGTGAACTATAAATCTTACAGAGAGACACATGCAACAATGCTGAGCAAGAACAGCATGAAGAGCGACTCAGAGTTTAACCATCCTGAAGATTTCAAAAGGTTTGTGTTGTAACTGACATACAATTAATGAAGTACACATAACAGTTTATATGTCAAAACTTTAATGAACATTGTATCAAACAGACATGTATTAATCTCAACAATAGTGACAATCAAACAAAAAGCTTAATGCCACAATGCATGCTGTGTGCCACCATAGTACAAAACTCATCCGTGACTCCCTGCATGCACTGCAGCATGAATAAATTATGCTTTTGAATATTTATTTTTAATTGATTTTACTGTTATTTTTGTTGTGACTTCAGTTGCTTTTTTGTGATGTTCAGAGTTTATCTGTTTATATACATATTTTCTTGATTGTCACCTTTTTTTTTTTTTTTAAATCAACTCTGGATAAGTGATCTATTGAATTACATGATGTAGTGCCACAGGATTATTATAAACAATAAGATGGCACCATCCCTGTTGCTTTAAAAAAAAAAAAAAGGTTAACTAAAAAATAAAAACATAGAAACTTCTATTCTATGGTAATATTAACTTAAATATACATGTAAACAGAAACAAATATAAAAAAAGAAAGCATTTTAGGGTTAACACAGCATAGAAATGTATAGGTAGATGCCACATTCGACCACTCCAGACACATCCGCCATCTTGGAACGGTCTATATGTCATAATTCACAATAACAATCAGTGAGTTTCAAGATGTCACAACATTGTGCAGTCTCTGGATTTAAAAACTTCTGAAATTTAAATTCCAGAAGAAATTGGATAAACTTTCACATGCGAGAATGTGTTGGTTTGTGTTTTTAATATGTATTAACTAGGGCTATCAAAATCAGAATCAGAAAGAGCTTTATTGCCAAGTATGTTTGCACATACAAGGAATGTGTTATAGTGTCACAAGCTTCCAGTACACGGAGACAACAACAACACACAGATAATAAAAATGAGATGTGAATAAAATACACATGCATAAATATAAACCACAAAAAAAGAATAAATTGTATGTACAGGTGTGCTATAGATAGAATAGGAATAGAATAAAATAAAATAAAGTTGTAGGGATGTACTAGGATTTAGGGTGATAAATAAGTATAAGGTTATTGCACATACTTTAATTGCACAATGGGAGAACATTAACTGTTCATGAGGTAGATTGCCTGGGGAAAGAAACTGTTCTTGTGCCTGGCTGTCCTGGTATTCGGTGCTCTGTAACACCAACCAGATGGCAAAAGTTCAAAATGAACGTGTTAACGCAAATTCATTTTAACGACACTAATTTTATTAACGCGCGATTAATGCAGCGCGCATTTACTGTTTGACCCTTTGTCTAGCCCGTAGTTGGAGAAATGGAGTTGCTCAGTGTTGCCAACTTAGCCGCTTTGGCACTAGATTCAGCAACGTGAGCCCCCTTATTTGACCTTTGAACCTTATTTGGTTTCTGAGACTTACCGGTACTGCCACACCAGTGCGAGGTCTCGCTTTCCCGTTGTGCGCGCACCTCTTTCTCTGTGTCTGCTCTGTTGATTTCATAAAAAAAAAAAACAGATATTATGTTGCTTCTCTAATTTTACATGCAAGTATAGCTGAAATCACAGCACAGCTATTGTCTTTATCTTATGTGTAGCCTATTTAATTTCATCAGATGACGGCTCGATTATCAGGATTTTTGTGCAGATTAACATCTTGGAAGGGGGAGTTGGTTATGTAGTCTTAATGGGTCATGTTTCAGTCACTATTTCATATTCATTCCATTGTCTGACAACAGAAACTAAATATATCATGATCAATAAAAAAAGTTTTATTGAGAATTTAGCTGCATCAAAATACAGTATGTGGGCACAGAGAGGCAAACAAATGTAATAATAAATAATAAATGTAGGCTACATTTTGCATGTTCAGAAGACGTGAGCTGTCCTGTCAAGCAAAAATGTAAACAGGCTTGTGTAAGTAAATTGCTCAGTGCAAAGAAAGAGAAGTAATGGGAACCT